ACAAGGTCACATAACATATGATCCTACTTACAGGAAATGTCCAGGATAGGCAAATCTGTATAGACAGAAAGTAGATTAGCCGTTGCCAGGGGTTGAGGGGAGGGAGACTGAAAAGCGATTGCTTCATGGGTATGGAGTTTCTGTTCGGGGTGATGAAAAAAAATTTGGAACAAGATAGTGGTAAAAGTTGCACAACAGTGTACTGAATGTCACTGAATTGTACACTTTAAGATGGTTTCAATGGTAAATTCTATGTTATGTGTATTTTACCATAATAAGAAAAAGCAACCAAAAACGAGAGCCCAGTGTATTTGAATAAGGGTCAGAAATGAAGACTTTACGAATAACAGAGCTATGTGGAAGTGTTGAAATAAACCCCCATGAGACCAGGATGGGTAGACACCAAGCTGTGTAAGTACAGGATGTCTGTTTTCTTATACCAATTTCACACCCTGCCTTTATATCCTCAAAGTTCCCCCAGAGGAAAAATAAAACCCGGGAAAACACATGAGAATATTACGAATTACTATAACTTGTCAATGCAAATCATATGTGAGTGGTATCAGAGGAGAAAGAAAAGAGAGACAGAGAAAAAGGAAAATTTGAAATATTTGAATTGATGAGGCATTTTTGGAGAAAGTAGAGGTCTCCCTGTTTCTTGGGGGAAAAATTAATTTAGGGTGATTCCAGGTTGTGCTCCAATGATTATCTTTGAGAATACTTCTTTTTACACCCATGGGAGGCTATTTGTGCAGCGTATAATTTCCTAGAAGTGAGACCAGTGGGAAAAAGCCTCAATGCAATTTACATGTTGAAAGTCTTTGCCAAATCTCCCCCCTGCCACACCCCTTAGTTGAACTCATTTATACCAGTGTTGATGAGAACGGATTCTCACAAATCTTCACATTGTGTTGCCCATTTTCCTGACAGTTGGCAAACTCAGTGAAGATGACATGGGCATACCTCTAACTATGAAGAAGGCTGAACATCCTTTTATATATTTGAATACCTTTAGTATTCCTTCTTTTTTTCTTTTCAGTGGGTCTGTTTCTGTGAGCTGCCTATTCATGTCCTTTGCCATTTTTATTTTGGCAAATAAGAGTTTGCGCTTTTTTTCTCACTGAAAAAATTAGTATTATGTATTATATATTATGTAAAATGTTATAATGCATGCCCTTTATCTGTCACTTAAGTTGCATATATTTTTCTCACTTTTAAAAATCTGACGTTCAACTTTATGCATGGATTTTTTTTTTACTATTCAAATAACTTAATTTTTTCATAGCCAGATTTGTTGTGTTTAGATTTTATTTTATTTTATTTATTTAAATTTTATTTTTGGCTGCGTTGGGTCTTCGTTGCTGCGCGTGGGCTTTCTCTAGTTGTGGGGAGCGGGGGCTACTCTTTGTTGCAGTGCACGGGCTTCTCATTGCAGTGGCTTCTCTTGTTGCAGAGCACGGGCTTTAGGTATGCGGGCTTCAGTAGTTGCAGCACTCGAGCTCAGTAGTTGCGGCACTCGAGCTCAGTAGTTGCGGTGCACAGGCTTAGTTGCTCCGCGGCATATGGGATCTTCCCGGACCAGGGCTCGAACCCGTGTCCCCTGCATTGGCAGGTGGATTTTTAACCACTGTGCCACCAGGGAAGTCCCTATTTTTAGATTTGGGATTTGCATCTTGCTTAAAGAGATTTTCCTTACTTTGCAATTATAAAACAAAATTTCCAAATTGCAGAGTCTTATGGTTTCATTTTTGAATGGCTATGGAATTCATCAAATACATTTTTAGTAGCATGGAGATATTCTTGTACCTTCTCTCCTTGGACATGCGAATACTGTGATCTTGATGACTAGACTTCCTAGCATTGAACCGTCTTTGCCCTCCTGGCCCACGGTCCACTTAATCCTGGTATAGGTGTTGTGTTCTTTCAATCTTCAGCCTGATTCTGTTGGTAAATTCTCACTGCTGTGTTTTCGCCCTGTTGTTCACAAATGAAATCAGTTTGCAGTCCCCCCCCCCACTCCTAAATGTAATGTATTAAAGCAGGTTTCCATGACAACACAGGAGTCAGGATTTACATTTGGTTTCCTGCTTTAATGTAACGGAAAACTGCTAGATTGAGGGAGATTGTCCCAGAGGGACCGGCTAAAGGAAGACCCCAGTAGGGTGGTGGTGGGCCTCCCTTAGCCCTCCTTGATGGACAACAAAAGTAGAGTATTTGGTGTTTATATTCATGAACGATGAAAAGATCTCTCTCATTACATCATGCCTTCAAAGTATGGTGTGCTTAAATGTCAGACCAAAGCCAATCTAAGAGAAACACAAAGCCAAACAAAAAGTCCCAAATGGTTTTTCAAAACTTTTAAAACTTTTAATTTTGACATGATGTCAGACTTCCAGAAAAGCTGCACGAATAGTACAATCAATCCTTATATGCACACTTTTAGCCAGATTTACCAATTTTATCACGCTTTCTATCACATCTGCTTTGTTCCGTCTCTGTCTCATTTTTGTTTTCTGAACCGTTTGAGAGTAAGTTGCAGATATTATACTCCTTAACCCCTGCGTACTTCATTCAGTGTGTATTTCCTAAAGCCGGGGACATTCTGTTACGTCACTTCAGTACAATGATCAAAATTAATATTGATACAATACCAGTGTCAGATTGACACACCCTTTTCAGTCTTCCCCAATTGCTCCAGTAATATCTCTTATTACAGAAGAAAATCCAAGAGCAACTTTGATCATTTAGTTAAGCCAGCTCTCTCCTCCATGAAGCTTCTATTTTTCCTTTCTTTTATTATTGACAAACGTCCTGCAGCGAGACACTTGCAGACCGCGGAAATACCCTGTTACTTTTCAGACTTCCAACCATCACTTAGCATTCGTGGCTGGCTCTTACCAGAACCAATTATTTTGGAGATTAGCAAATGGTGATTTTCTACTTCCATTCTATTGATTTTAATAAAAGGCAGAGGTTGACTTTCAACTTTTAGATGATTGTATTTTTTGGGGGGGGGCAAGATGGTTTACAAAAGAAACAATGAGTTTTTTTCGGGAAGTGGGTGTGTCTTCATTTGCATCCAGCAAGTCACAACTACAATGATTCTCTTGACTTTATCCCCAACATGGAAGTCTTGCGTCCTGAAAGATTTCCAGAGAGCATCACGTCCCCTGGAATTTCAGCAAATGCCACTGGCCTGGAATTGTTGGTGGCTTTTGGGGGCCCCTGTGGATCAGAGGGAAGCCCCTCAAAGAAGGGGAACAACATTGATCAGACCCACAATTCTTGGTACTCTGGGACTGCAGTTGCCTCTTGTCTGTTCTCTGTGGGTCCATTCTTGCCCCATTGTCCACAGTGAGATATTATTGGAAAGAAAATCTGATTGTGTTAACCTTTCGGTGTAAACCCTCTAATGCAACATTTCAGGATAAAGGTGGTGGTGGGGACAGCCCTTCACATGGCATATCAAGAGTCTACCCTGTCTAGCTCAGTCTCCCCTCTTTTCTTTCTGTGTTCCAGCTACAATGCCTGGTTCAGTTGTGAGAACACCAACCTGTCCTCCTCTGGGCCTTTGCACATGCTGTTCCCTCTACCTGGAACACTTCCCTGCTGCTTCCCTGGGCTGGTTTCTCCTCAACCTCAGATTTCAGTTCAAAAATCACTTCTTCGGAGGATCCTTCAGTGTCTCCCCACCCCACCTTGTAACACATCTGACGTATAATTAACGCCCTTCTCCCCCACTGGATTGTGAGGTCTACAAGGAAATGGATGGTGTGTATTTTGCTCCCTGCAAATCCCCATTACTTACTGCATGTTGATTCTTCCATTCAACAAATATTTATTAAGCAATGGATATGTCAGGCACCGGGTATAAAATTGTGAACAAGACAGACAAGATTTCTGCCTTCCTGGGGTGGGGCGAAGACACAGGTAGGGATACTGGCGTGCTGTCAAGAACAGGGAGGGGAACAAAGGGAGGAAGGGCTGGGGAGCGTTTGCAAAGTGTGGTCAGGGAAGGCTCATTGGGACAGAGAGGTGAAGCCAGACACTGGAGGGACAGGAAAGCAGGAATAGGTTTGAGTTAAAAGGACAGTGGGCCCACCTCCTGGCAAATTAATATTTGTTTAATAGACGAGAGAAAGAACGAACGCCCTCAGACAAGAGTTGTGCTGGGTGCTTTGTCATACTTTATTTCTCCTGCAACTCCCCAAATCTGACGCGCAGGTACTGTTCACATGCATCATACAGGTGAGGCTGATCCAGAGAGAGGACTCTGGGTCTGCAGTGTTGAAAAACTGCGTGTGTCCATTTGTGTCATATCCAAGATCTCCACCGCCCGGTTTGCACTTTTGCGAGGTTCTGCACGTTCTCCAAGGGGTCATTTCTCCAACTTGAACCAAAGACCGCGCGGAGGGGCCCAGGCCACCAGTACATTGAGCGCACGGGGCGCGCGTGCACGTGGCTGTCCCCAGGGGCCTGCGCTGGGCTGGGGAGTACTCGGGGTAGGACAGGGCGCCCGCGAGGACTAGACTTGCTGGCGGGACTGGGACGAGGGGGAGACGAGCACAACATTTAAGGGAGTAACAAAAAAACCGAGTAACCTAGATAAACAATATTTTAATGCAATATTTTTAAAAAATCAAAATGAATTTTCCAAAGTCCCATGATGAACAAAATAGCAAAACGTTAAACACAGGATCCGTCTCGCTGGGTCGGGCATCTGGGGCGCCCCCAGGCTCTGAGACGGGAGTCACGGGGCTGGAAGGGGCGCTCCGCCTGGGCAGGGATCTGTGGCGCCCCCTCGGCTAGGGCGCGCCGGGGGCCTCCAGCGCGGGGCCCAGGACAGGGACGCTGGCGGGTGGGGCGGGGCGGCGCCTCCCCCCTGTCGGTCCTCCCTCTACCCCTCTCGGGCCTCTCCCGGGCGCCGAGTCCCTTCCGAATCCGGATCCGCGCCGCCTTTTCCCGCGGCCCGCACGGGGCCCAGCTGACGGGCCGCGTTGTTTACGGGCCGAGCAGCCCTCGCTCCCGCCGCCCGCTCGCCACCCGCCTGCCCAGGTGCCCGCCCGCCTGTCCGCGCGTCCGTTTGTCCGCGCGTCCGAAGATCTGAGCCCCCGAGCGCTCGGGGCCGAGAGCCAGGAGGCAGGGGCGCAGCGCCGGGCTCGGGGCCCTGAGATCGCGGGACGGGGCCCGGGCCGCGGTGGCCCGGAGTCGGGGCCGCCTCCACCGGGCCGCGTTGCCGGATTTGCAGCGGCGGAGGCCGCGCGCCCCTCCTGGGGCTGTTTCAAGGACCCTCCCGGGCGGAGGCTGCGGCCCCTGGGCCGCCCGCGTGGAAGAGAAGGACGCGCGGCCCCCAGCGCCTCTCGGGCGGCTGCTTTGGAGCATGCACCCCTCGGGCCGGCGCCGCGCGCTCTGATCCATCCGGACCCCGCGCTCCCGTAGCCATGGGCGCCGGGGGCGGGCGGGGGGCGGCGGCCGTGCCACTGCTGGTGGCCGTTGCCGCGCTGCTGGTGGGCGCCGCGGGCCACCTGTACCCTGGAGAGGGTGAGTCTGGGGGTCCGGGAGTGGGCGGGGACCAGCGCGGTGGGGAGGGGACCCTTTGCCAAAATGGAACCCCTGCTGTGGACTGAGAGCCCTCCTCCGTGGGAGGGCGGGTGGCCGGGACTGTAGCTCCAGCCTCGCGGGGGGCGGGAAGCCGCTGACCTTGGCCTTTGCCCGCCTGGGCTCGCGGCTCCACGCTCCGCGTGCAGGCCCCGGGCTGGAGGAACCTTGCCCTAGTGCTCGCCCCTCCACGGGCGCCTCCCCCGAGCGTTCCTCGGACCTGTGCCGTGCCTGGACCTCCCCGAGCCCAACTGGCTCCGGAGACGGGACACGCGTCCTGAGTCGCCTCCGAGATGTGGGGTTATTGGACACTCTCGGACAGCCAAGTTCCTGGGGCACAGACGGTTTGGAGCCAGAGTCGAGGGTGACGGACTGGGGAGGGGGTCCCTCGAGGGTCCCTGCTGGTAGGTGACGCTGCCCGGGGCGGGGAACTGTAGAATCCACCCGCCTCTTCCTCGTATCTAGACCCATGGCTACCCCGACTTCAGGTCCATGTTTACACTCTTGGGTTCTGTTTCCAGATATCCGGAGGCAAACTCTAGCGCCTTGGCAACAGCGCAGTTGTAGTAGCAGAGGTAGTGTCGGCTTTAATGATTATTGTAGTTAGTGTCACCAAATGCCACGGACTGGTCGGTCTTATCTCTCTGGACCTTTTTTTTTTTTGAGATTTTTTTTGATGTGCACCATTTTGAAGTCTGTATTGAATTTGTTACAATGTTGCTTCTGTTTCACGTTTTGGTTTTTTGGCCGCTAGGCATGTGGGATATTAGCTCCCCGACCAGGGATCGAACCCTCACCCACTGCATTGGAAGGGGTAGTCTTAACCAGTGGACCGCCAGGGAAGTCCCTCTTTCTGGACCTTTGCGGCGGCTTCTTGAGGCTGATACCGTTGTTGGTCCATTTCGTAGGGAGTAAACTGAGGCTCAGGAAGGACACATAACTCACTTGCCCCAAAGTCAGTGCCAGAGGGAAAAACGAACCTCTCCAGTGGTGCCAGGGCCCAAGGCTCTGGACTGCTGCCCACGGCCCATGTCCTCCCTAATAACCTTCCTCCTCTGCCCTTTTACCTGTCAGCTCCGGGAGGTCTCTAACCTGTGGTCATTCCAGCCCCCAAAGCCTCCCTCCTGAGTGTCCCTGTGCTGGCAGCCACCAGGGGCAAATCCCAGCATCCTTCTTGGGCTTCACAGCAGGTCTTCCCGGCTGCAGGTCAAGGACGGAAGAATCGTTTAAGAGAATGTAGCTGGGGTTTCCCACTATGATGGCTCAGGCCCTGCTTTCAAAATATCTGTTGGGTTACTTCTTCAGATTTCGCCATAAAAGGAGATCAGTCATGAGGAGGAAGGGGTCAAGGAGGGAAGAAACTGAAGTTCCTGAGCTCCCTGACAGTGAGCGAGGGGCGTGAGAAAGCACACGCAGGCTCTGGAGTTGACAGACCGGGTTTGCTGAGCCCCTTTGCCAGTTAGGCACTGTCTCCAAGCACCCTGGTATACAGTGGGTGCTTCATGAAGGAGGGTGGCAAGTGGTTTAGGGTCTTGTTAAAAAAGTCCGAGACCAGTTGTTAGGCTTTGCGTATGTGTGCGTGGGCTCACCCCCGTATGTTTCCTTGCTTCTCTGTTCCTGGTAGCTTTGGTAATTAACGGTGGATTTGTGCCTGGGCTTTCAGGGGTCTGTAGATGGATTTTTCCGCTTCTTACTTGTGTACAGTTTCCACAGGGGCAGAGGTTTACGTTTCTTTCGTTCACTGCTACATTTCCAGAGCCTAGAGCAGTCCCTGGCACCTAGTAGGTATTTGATAAATATTTGTTCTAGATTCAACTCCTATCCTTCCTGTCCTCCCCAGGAGTAGTCCAAGTCACAGCTGCTTTATTCTCCAAATAACTCCTAACTAACGAGAATATAAGCAAACACTCAGCGGGTGCGGTTCTATACACTTTGCATAGGTAATCTCGGTTAATCCTCACCACGGTGCTGGGAGGTAAGGCTTATTGTCCTTTTGGAAGGTGAGGAACTTTGGCGAGATGGCAGAGCTGTGATTAGAACCCCAGTCTGTGAATAAAAGGTTTCTTAATAAAAGGTTCTTCTTTGGAGTCTGAACCTCCCCACCCCCGTGGTAAAGGTTAACAAAATACTACTGAAGAGATGACATGTGATGCCCTTTGGAGGTTTAGGGAGGGGCGTGAAACTTTACAGATGGCTTATCTCCAACAGCAACCAATATGGCATCTTGGCTGGGGTGGGTGAGGGTGGGGTAGAGGGAAATCAATGGGATTTTTAAGGACTGAGGACTCAGAGATGTCACATGGTGTGTGCCGTCCCACTTCGTCCCCCCATGGAGTCTCTGTGGCTTGGCTGACCTGGGCAATGGCTTTCCCCTCCATTTCTCCTCGGGTTGATCCGCTCCGGCCCGAGATGACCCGGGGCATTGCAAAGTCAGAGAATGAAGGCAAAGTGGGATTAATTACAGTGAAAACCCACAGAGTTTCGGCGGGGGTGGAGGGGTGGGCAGTGAGTTGTATAGCTGAGGTGTGAGATGCTGCTTTCAGATCCCACCGGATGTTTCTCCTGTGTGTTCTCTTGTGTGCTCCGGGACCCTTAGAGCAGAACTTCCGCTCACCGGGTCACCTCCCTGGGGTTCTTCCCAGGCTTTGCTTCCCTCCTGGTGACCCACCCCTCGCCCTTGCCCCACTTACTCATAGAGGTCATTGGGGTGAGCCCCCTGGGGTCCCCACCTCACTCCACTCCATCGTTGACTTCCTTTCTTTTTTGATTAGAGCGGAACCTCTTGACTTCTCTGCTCTCGACATATGGGGTTGGAGAGCTCTTGGTTGCAGGGGGCTGTCCTGTGTATTTTAAGATGTTGAGCGCCATCCCTCATCTCTAGACGCCAGTAGCAATTCCCCTCTCCAAGTCATGACCACCAAAAGTGTCTCCAGACATTGCCAACTGTCCTAAGAATCACTGCATTTGGGGAGATAACTTTTTCCTTCTCTAGGACACTTACCCACCTGGGTCCCCTGCTCTCTCCCCTCTGTTTGTTCAGGGGTCTCCATCTACCCAGGAGCCTTTCTGTTTTCAGCCCATAAACGCTCAATACTCCCCTGGGCCCAATTACTCACCACTTACCTCTCGCCTTCCCCTGCCAAGCCTCCCCTCCAATGGGTCCCCACCGCCCTCGCTCTCTCACCTTTCACCCACTGCTCTGCCCACGGCATCTGGCTTGTGTCTCCATCGCTTTGCCCATGGTGCGAGAGAAGGTCATCCCTCACCTCCCAATTGTAGCCTCACCCCAGCTGACTTCTCTGGGTTTTGCCTCCCACTGGAAGGCACCGTCTCCTGGTGAGTTTTCACCTGTGTCTGACTTCTCCCATCCTCTTTCTTCCTTTCCTCTGCTCCTTTCCTAGACTAAGATATTAGACCCTTCTTCCTAGAGGGCCATTCTCTACCCTTGACTCTCTCTGTCTCACTCAGTTTTTAATTTATATATGGTCAAAGCCTTTATCTAGAACAGGGGCCAAATCCTGCCCACCCACGCCAGTTTTGTTGTAAATAAAGTTTTACTGGCACACAGCCATGCCCATTCGCTCATGCACCCTCTGTGGCCGCTTTTGTGCTCCACAGGCAGAGCTGAATAGTTGTGAGCGCGTGGCTCCCAACAATATTTACACTTGGGCCCTTTCCAAAGTTTGCCAACTCCTGATTTAGAACAAACTCCTTGAGAATCATGATGACATACCTCATAGCTTGTGTGGTCCCTGATACAACTTTGAATGAATCAAGTTAAATGAAGCGCCCGGGGATGCTGTGTTTTCCCCTTTACGGAGCAAGCTGTATTAAAGAAATTTATACCATGTGCTGTGCTGAATGTAGGGGTTCCGATGGTGAGAAAATAACAGTGATGTTCCCTCCTTGTGTGTGTGTTTGTGTGTGTACGATCTTTGGATTTATTTGTTTAAACAGTCTTCTTGGCATTGAACGAGGATTCCGTGCTCCTGGCCCTGTCTCTAGTACCAAAAGAAAGTGGTATCTGCTGAGATGTTCTCTTGAGACCCGCCCTTATGTTAATTTCTATTAAGAACACATCGGGGTGGCTTGGGTTATGTTTTGCAACTTAAAAACCATATTTATGGGACTTCCCTGGTGGTCTAGTGGTTAAGACTTCCCCTTCCAATGCAGGGCATGCGGGTTCGATCCCTGGTAGGGGAGCTAAGGTCCCACATGCCTCCCGGCCAAAAAAGCAAAACATAAAACAGAAGCAATATTGTAAAAAATTCAGTAAAGGCTTTAAAAATGGTCCACGTCAAAAAAAATCTTAAAAAAGCCGTATTTATGATTTTCAAATTAAAATAATAACAGGTAGTGCATTCTCATTGCAAAAAAAATTATGAAAGTATAGAGAGGAAAAAACCAGAGTCCCCCTTTGTCCCTAAAACCATTGCATTTCTGTCCTGGGAAATGACCATGCTATCAGTTTGGTGTATATCTTCATTTATTTATTAAAAAAAAATTTTTTTTAATATAAGTACTGGCCAATGAATTTTTTTCCTTTTTTTTTAAAGTTTATTTTTTCTTGTGTGACTTTTTAAAAAAATAAATTTGTTTATTTTTATTTCATTTATTTTTGGCTGTGTTGGGTCTTTGTTGCTGCGCACGGGCTTTCTCTAGTTGCGGCCAGCGGGGGCTACTCTTTGTCGCAGTGTGCGGGCCTCTCATTGTGGTGGTTTCTTTTGTTGTGGAACACGGGCTCCAGGCACGCGAGCTTCAGTAGTTGTGGCACGTGGGCTCAGTAGTTGTGGCTCTCGGGCTCTAGAGCGCAGGCTCAGTAGCTGTGGCGCACGGGCTTAGTTGCTCCGCGGGATGTGGGATCTTCCCAGACCAGGGCTCGAACCCGTGTCCCCTGTATTGGCAGGCGGATCCTTAACCACTGCGCCCACCAGGGAAGCCCG